CTGAAGATAAAGTCGTTGTGCCGTTCGTACGGCTCCTGCAGCTCATCTGCATACCGTGACACACACATATGCACCACGCACTACACACATATGCACAGGGGGGCATAAAAACAGTGCCCACCCCCATTCCCAGCCCTTCTTTCCCTGGGACTCCCTCCTCTGCTACCACCCAGCCCCCCCTCCTGAATTCACTGGCACTTCCAGAAAGCTCCGAGGCGCCAGCGGAGCGGGGCTCATCTCTTGGGAACAATAAAGCCAGATCTTCATAAAAACTTCAAAAAGGCCTCGCCAAGTGTTTTATAGGTGCTTTAAAGGTTTATGGGCCCTGGGGAGGGAGGGAGAAAGAGAGAGAGAGAAATGAATGATGCAGTAGTGGTAGGCTCCACTTTTCCCACCCACTGCACACACACATGTACAGAAAAGACACGCATGCCAGCGTACAACACACGTATACGCTGCTGCCGCTAATCCGCCAGTAAGTGCCAAGCTGAAATCGGCTGGTGGCGGGCAGGGTGGGGCAGAGGGCGGCGGTGGATGAGAGAGCTGGGAGAGGTCGAGGGTGGGGGGGAGCGAAACAGGTGATCAGTTGGTGTAGAAATGGAACAGAGGAGGAACGAGGGATGTCAGCGCGGCGTCAGGAGAAAGCAGCTCACATTTCAATCAACTGATACACAAGTTAGACTGACATCTATTCAGGTACATTCTGAAATATAAAGGAGGATGTTTTATATCTCTACCAGGGCAAGACACTAATTTCTTGCCCAGATGGACGTCAAGTGTTGGATGAGTGAACTTTATTTCTAAAGTGAGCCACAGTTGCCGACTTCCAGAACAAAATGACTTTGAGTGCAGCTGAATTTAGTGGAGATGCACCCACTGTCATCCACTTCAGAGTGATTATGGCCCAGATGACGTTCATATTCACATCGCTTTATGTCCACCGGTGGTAGCAGCAAAAGGATGTCCTTCATCCGTCTTGTAACCAAACGCTCAAAGCCAAAGAAGCGTTTGGAGTTTATGGCGTAATCCGACATCACATTTACAGATTATGTCCGTTTGAATGTGTACGGTGTGTCTAGTCTCTCAGTATAGGCTCTCCCATATTTGGAAACCAGACTTGTAATGAACATGATTTACAGATGGCTTCTATACACAATAACACCGGCTACAGCAATGAATGAATAGTGTGTTATGATGAACAGATTATGCTGGAACACAGCTGGAAAAAGCTGTAAACACTAAACAGTTCTAGGTGATTAGAGCGTGTTGTTCCTTCTCAGCAACAGTTTTCTTTATGAGTCAGATCAGGACTTGAACCCCCCAAACTGTGATGCACAGCCAGAAGTGGTGAAATCAACATCTGCGTTGCCATTTGACTAAAATCATCTACAAATGTAACAAACTATAGCAAAGATTTTACAGGAATATTCTTGCCATTCTCTGTTTTTTTTTTTCTTCTTCTTTGAACAATGAGCTACAAAACCATCATCTTACCTGTAAAGACACTAAACTCTAAACCTGGCTTAGCTAACTTTGTCTGGAGTCTTTATAATGACTTCCTAGAGGTAAAATTACTGTTATCTCCATGATCTAGATGAGGCTGCAGGTGTTCGGCCTCTCCAACCACTTTCTAGCGTCCATGTAACAATATTTGGACAATTAGCAAAAGCTATAGATTGACTTTGTCCAGTTGCGCAGACCGACATACCTGCACAGTTTCAAGCCCCGTTTCACTGAGTGCATTGCCTGATGGTTGAATTTCAATTTAATGATGACCCGTTTATCATTCAAGCTTCAACATAGGGTGCAAATTATTAAACTCAAGATACAACGCATGATTTTGCACCTTCAAAGAAACAGGCCTCATGTATAGGCAGCTTTCCACTGCAGGAACTCGAGGCAGAGACAAGGTAGCACGAACAGGAACGGCCCCATAGTCGGCCCTTTCAGCCTTTCTGTGTCTGTTGCCATAAAGGATCCGGCAGCTACGATTACCACGTTATCTTGGAGCACGTCATATAACTCCAGTTGTGCGCATGTAGGAAATACAACAATGGCGGATTTGCTATTTTAGATTATGTGGTGAGTTTTGCATTAAAGTTGGCGATGGTTGAGAGGACAAGACTGTTTTGAAAGCACAGAAGAGTGCTGCGTGTTGCCCTCACTGAGTTTACCTACTTAGGTTAAAGATTCATAAAGCAGTTTTTCAGGATCACCCAGAAGTACCTTCCTTGGAGTAGGTCGCTCTTCTCCCTTGAAAACTGCCCTGAAAGAGGTTCTTGTGGTCAGAACCTGCTCAAAGAGTCACTCTGCCCGACAACAACCTGCAAGCTTCTACAGTGGAAAGCAGCTTCATGTATGGATGTATCTGGCCACACTGCAGACTAACCTTCTGGGCCCTGGCCTCGGGAAGGGTCAAGAGGTGGGACTCTGAGCAGTTTAAGGCCTGCAGTCTCCTCAAGATGCACCGCTTGCTGTTTTTCAGGTGGACCAGTTTAGCCGCACACAAACCGGAGCATGGGCTCACATGCAATTAGCAGTTTGGACTCGTCCACTTCCAGTGCGGAAGCTTAGCAGCCTCTGAATCCTACCTCTCTGCCAGTGGACGTGCTGATGAAATCCCCTATCAAATGATTCTCCCACATACACAATATGACTTTGTTGCTGTTTGGATGCAGATATTTTGATGAGTCACGAGTCGCTGGTCCGGAGCGAAGCACGCTCCACGTTGAATCTCTTTTATGAGCATGAATAGCCACTATTCAAGGCGTTTTTGGAATGTTTTCTTTATAGGTATTCAGATATATGCCAGGGGTTATATTTAGCTCGGGTCCTCCTGGAGTCAGAAGGTTTAAAATTAGGAGGTGTCAGAATTCCAGTACAATTCTTAAGTTACTGTCAATAAACGGTAAAGGGCTCTCTTAAAGGCGTAGTGTGTTGGCGAGGCTGCATTATGGCATGATTTGTGTGTGATAAGCTGCTTGGGAAAGTGCGCGTGGATTTGTCTTGATATAGTACAAAAGTGTAAATCTTCTACGTGGTATACATGCGCATTTGCACATCTATATATCAGGATTCCTGAGAGCGTGCTGTGTGCGTGCACCAGTGTAAGCTTGTGTGTGTGTGTGTGTGTTTGTGCGTCCATCTCCACATTAGTGTTTGTAGGATCTGTTGACAGGGAAGCATGCAGCATTTTATTTGCTCAAGGGCTGAAAAAACACATGGCGCTAGCAAGGGAGTGCTGTGATATGAGCCTGCTGAAAGCAACCTGGCCAGCCAGAATTCAACCCCGGGATCATGATTCAACTAAACATATTAACACACTGTATAAAAACAGGACCGTGCAACATAAAGATTTATTAATGCATAAACCAAAATGCATATTCTGCTGCAGGCTGGACTCTTTTATTTATAGTGTTAAATGCTCATTTTTAAACTTTGATTTCTGAGTCAACACATGAAGATGAAATCTGAGCAATCTAAAGTGTTGATTAATTAAATACATGAAGACTGTAAGGCTTATGTGTAAAAATCCTGTCAGTGTAGTAAAAAGGCATTTTGGTTTTCTTTTTCGAACAGCAATATTAACTGAACAGAGAGTACTTGTTTTTCATGACAGTAAAAGTCTGTCTCTAATTTTGTCCTTTCAACAGCCCCCAGGTTGCTCAAAGCGGTTTAACTTCTGCATAAAGAGATAAATGTTTAAACTTTGCCAACATGGACGCGCTACACATGGTTGGATTGGTTTCATTGCCCACAATTCAGCTGTTCAGTGAACTTTATATAAAGTTAAGTTAAAGTTAGAGGTCTGAAATTTCATGCAAGTGTGGATGACAAGATGTTGAAGGTATGTAGTGATTTGCATAGCTCTGCCACGAACCCCGTCCTGGTTATTGTTACTTGAACATGACTTGTTGACAAAGAAAACCATTTTTTGAGGCATATTTTAGGTAATGTAGTAAAGATTCTCTTTCAGCCACATGCTAAACAAACTAGAAGATGTTACCTTTCAAATGAAGTCTCATACATGCGTTCTGGCTATTTACTTCTTCTTTTTGGGCTTTTCCATTTGGGTGTGCCAAATAGATAAAAATTCCATAAAAGCAGTTGGATGCAAGGATGTGATAAAAACAGACTCGCTACTGAAACAGTCCTGAATAAAAAATCTATGGCAGAAAAATGGAAAACAGAAACACGAGTGGCGAGACCTGCTTTTAAGGATTTGGGGTTAATTTATTCATATCAATATAAAAGCACTGCTTACAGAATGTGAGTACTTGAGTACCCAGACATGTTTATTTCACCGTACAGGACTGCACTGAGAGTAAAGCTGAGGTAATGTACCATCGCTGTGAAACTGGCGACGACGATGTCATTATGTCCAGCATTTTCCTAATGCTGAGCTTAAACTCCATTCAAACCTGCTAGAAAAGTGACAGTGAAACACTCCCTGAACCTACGAAATAGTAACATCATCCCTGGCTCTCTGCAGGCCTCATGTGGCCATGCCCGCCACTTATAGTCTGAGATCCAGTCTGCAGCTGCCCACCATTCAGTTTTCATCGACTGGGTGGCAAACAGTAATGAGGTCATTGCAATATAGCATCTGTAGGAACAAGAGCCCTCTATTTGTCATCTTCATTCATATCAGATGAATGAATGGCTGTTGGGAATGTAGCATACATGTGGATGAAACTCCAAACTAAAAGAATAAGCCCCAAAGAAAATCTGATCTGCACACAGTTGAAATGCAAACTTGTTATGGTCCTTCTGGGTGATGAGGTGTGCCAGAGAATGTCATTGATCCTAGAGGAACTCTCAGCTCTAGGAAAGTGTGGCACACTTAATTTGTAAAGTGGACAACCTCCGAAAGAGGAAGTGTAAAAAGGTAATATCACATAAAAGATGTTGTTACTGCGCAGTGGGACACACATGAAGGTCAGAAACTTCCTACACTCGTGTGCGGCAAAAGAGGAGAAACCCACAAAAACAAGCGAGGCTTTCATTTTGTAATATTCATTTATTGTTCAATAAAAATAGATTTTAAAAAAGTGACGTGATGTCTCCTTCATGACTTTGCCTGATGGATCTGCCAACAGCTCCTTGTAAACACGGGGCTTTATTTTTTTTGAGTGGAAAAGGGAATTGAAACCCCCTTCTTCCCGTTCAACACAATCACAAGGCGACAGCCTGCAACTGTGCTGAACCTTTGACCTTTGTAATAAAGACAGCCCGCCACCCCCTGACACATTTTCACTTATTTTCACATTTTGGGCAGATACAGTACATTCATCCTCCGGTCTTGTTTGTCTATGTACAAAGGTTCAGTTTGTGGCTGTGTGATTTGTTTTTGCAGATGGCCCTCGTAAAAACAGCTTTAAACAATGTGAATAAAGAAGACATCTAAGCGCTAACACAAGAGTTCAAGCCATCAGTAAAACCAATTATTATAACATCAGTCCGTCTTAAGACATCTTTGTACAGTAGTTACACGTAAACACATCTTTGAAGGTGTAAAGAAAGTAAACTCTGTAAACACTCTGAGAGACTCCGGTCCACTCTCCCTCTGCGACAGGTTCAACAACATCATGTGAGCCTGGATTGCTACAGTAATTAAGGGCCAGGTCCACCGACTTCGCCTACCCAACTCGCCCACTCGTGCTACATTTGGGAATGCTGCAGGTCATTACAATGGTGCGATGCTGCTGAGCCTGGCTGACACATTAGAGCAGTAATGCAAAGATAGTTAAGAGAAAAAATAAATAAAACACAGAAGGCAAAATTTTTGTTAACATGAAATGTGGAGTTGTAAACAACGCCACGGAACGACCACTGCTCCGTTTCAACTCTAGTGTTTTATTTAACTTGCTAAAGAGGAAAGTTTAGATTGTTGAGAGGCTTCATTTATTGTTTAGGGAGAATTAAGGCAGCTCATCTGAAAAATACAACTCTTGTAATTGAAAATGCGTCCCTGGAAACTTTTATGACTTGCAAGGCGAGACTCACTTAGCCAACTCTGGTAGCCACGGTAGCAGTTTGCTGCGGGCATGTTTACTTCTGACTGCCCACACTTGACTTGGTGAGCTGTTACAAAAGCACAAATTGTGTTTTTTTTTAAATGTTATATTCGCTGTTTTCAAAGAAACATATTTTTCCCATAAGGTTACAGTTTGAAATAGTAGAAAAATAGAAAACGTCTTCACTCTCCCTTCACCCTAACTGGTGGAGGCAGATGGAGGCCCTGCCTGAGCCTGGTTCTGCTGAAGGTCAAGTCCTGTTAAAATGGGGGTTTTCTTATCCACCGTCACCAAGTGCTTGCTCAAAGAGAACTGATATCGTACGGTAAGTTTAAGTTAAGTCTTATTTCTCTGTTGGAAAGCTCACTGGGTCAACTTCTGTGGATTTAAATGTGCTCCATAAATAACGGCGACTTGACTTGACCGTCAAACAGCCACATAAGGAGGTTGGAGAGGTGGTTGTGGCAGAAGTTTGACACAAAACTTTCACCCATGGGAGTCTGGGGTGGGTGCCCCATATGGGAGTATTAGTTTTATAGTTTTGTGGTCACTTTTTGTTCTCACTTGCTGTTTGGTTGTGTACCAAAACTACGTGGTTAGGTTCAGGAAAATATCATGAGTTCAGTTGAAATCTGTTTCCAAATTCATTAGAGGAACTTCAGCTTTGGCATCTCTACGTTGGCTTCATTTCTCATCCCTAGAAGTTGCTGCTTGGTTAAACTCAACCGTTTCACAACATGTTTGAATGTTCTCCATTTTTTGGGTTACCAGGGTGACAGCTGCCAGCCCACCTAATACATGACTGATGGGCTGAAAAGGAGGGACAGCTGGAAAGCAATGCAAAGGTGTGTTGATTAGAAATGTATTTGTCTTTTTTCTACTACAGCATTGATCTGTGTCGTCTTCATTATCTCGTGTTTTTACTAAATGACAATCTCAGCAGAGCCTGTGGAAGTCCTTGGCTGTAGCCCTGATTGAAAGCGTCTCGTTCACTCTGTGGGAGACTGTCCTGAATCCTTTCCATAGAAAATAATTGAACTTCAATGCCAGAATTGGAAAGTAATTTATACCAAAGTGGTCTTTAATTGTGGTTTTCAAAATCTGCCTGACTAAAAATGATGTTTTGAGCTTTAATATTTATGTTATATTTAATAGGGGGGGTTAGATTGAGATTAACGAGCTTTAATTTGTTTATCCCCTTGCTGTACTTGTGTTCTGAGGACAGCCGGGTTATGAACTTCTTCGTTGTTTACCCTCCTCTTCAATAGCAAAATTATTGATTACAACCCTAATGATGCATTTGGATGTCTCTGTTGGTCACATGAGCCTCACCTTGCAGGATGTTCATTTAGTAACTTCAAGCTTTTTTAAAAAATATATTACTTATTTAGAAGCAGTTTAGAAAACACTCTGGGATACAAAGTGTGTAACTTTGTTAGAAATACTGGGCCTCTTAACAACTTGAGTCATCCCTTTCACACTACAGTCCCTTTGGGAGACCCTGCTCTAGACTGACGGGCACCATTTTCTGATGCATCTGGGAATACCACTGAACCAAACACAACAAAACACTGAACTGGTTAACTTTTAGCACAGCATGACTACAGTACTTTAAATGTACTTAGCACAATTCTGGAAGGTTTACATGCTTTTCCCATCAATTAGAAAAACAGAAAGTTAAAAAGTATTGCTTGTTTTTTTTTCGTCTCTGTTTTCCAAACCCAAATTAGCTGGTTTTATTTAGTAATGATGGGATGATCGTATTAGTCAGCTACACTACGACTGCGTCTACTGTACAGAGGACGTGTTGCTACAAAAACGGAGAAAAAGAGCACCAGAGAGTTAGTGCCAGGTTCTACAACATGCAGCCTCCACCCTCCTCTCCCTTTCTATCACGCTCTCTATTCCTTGCTTGGCTGCTGGCTACCAGAGAGTACAGTGGCCAAGAGCAGTTGAGTGACAGGCTGAAGGGCCAAATCATCAAGTCGATTGCGTCCCCAAGCGGAGACGCCAGCCACCTCTGTACTTCTGCACTCCTTCCTGCCTTCTGGGCCCGGTCCAGAGCCCACATCCTGGGAACATGGGGCCGGACGGCTGCAGCCGACAGCTCTTTGGGAATGACACAATGAGAGAGTTCATAGTCGAAGCCGTGTCGGTGTGTGGCTGGGGAGGTGATGGTGCTGTCCGTGTCATTTTGGCAACGCGCACGGCCCGATGTGCTGGCGACAATCACGCCAGAAGTCAAAGTGACGCTCCATTAAGCCGGCTCAGCATCACAATCTTTTTGCCCAATGATTTCTGACAGCACAAAAAACTGTTTTCTCTTTGTTCCGCTTTGTTATTGTTCATTTGGTGTCCATATGAGGGTCTCTGATGGAATACGTACGGGAGAACAGATTTCATGGAAACAGATTCTCAGAGTCACAGTTCAGATAACAAGAACACAGCAGAAAATATGACAACATGTTGTAGCTGCAGCTGAGGACGGTTTCACCTCAGTGAGAGAGAAGAGCGTAGAGTTTAAGACACAATGCAACAGTTCCTTAATTTATCGAAAAAGGACGTGGAATGAACTCGTAAACTTTTTCTTTGCCTCTCTCGCTCCTGGAATGATCACACTGTGGTGGCTCGGCTGTGTTTGAGCGCTAGTGGTGAATACTCCTTAATGCGAACGCACAGTTTTCCCCGTAGCCAGGGGTTCTGGAGCTCCAGGGGACAGAAGTCGTCCTGAAGCCACTTTTCTCTGTTGTCCACAACCAGCACAAGGCCAAAGTGCTTCAACTGTTCAGGACTGTAGTACACAGACTGCTCCTGTACGTCGCCGCCTCCGCTGCTACCCAGCATGCGCCGCGACACAACGTTCATCTCCTGCACCACCAGCTGCACCATCTCTCGCGCCGATGTGCCTGGAGTTACACAAAGCTGAAACGCACAAACAGAAGAAAGAAAATCGATTAGCTTTTTGCCAGCCTGAGCACGAACACAGTAACGGCTTAATGGTGCATTACTTCAACGTGTCAAAACGCGTCGATACCTTGACGCTGGTCTCCTTGGGCAGGCCTGTGCGGTACTGTGGATACACTCTGAGTGTGGCATGACAGCCTTTCCTGAGAGCAGCAGGTGATGGTGAGGAGAGTCTCTGGGTGCCGCTGTCCTCTGATAATGTGCGCGCTGGTGGTAGCTGTGGTAAGCAGCGCTCTGCAGAACAACAGCGGTCCACGGATGAGGGCCTGTGATATCTTCTCTGTGGCGAAGTGGAGGGTGAAGGGCAAGTAGTGTGGTGGGAGTAAGGCTGTTGGTGGGCTGATGTGCTGGAAGGGAACTCCAGACTGCTGGTCCTCACACAGAACGCCTGCCTCTTCTCTGTGATGTGCAGCAGCTCGATCTGCCTGCTGGGTAGGATGAAGTCGCTGTCAAACAGCTCCGGGGCGCCCCGTCGCCTCTCTCCTGCACACCGAACTCCTCCCCCACCTCCACCGCACCTCTCGCTTTCCCTGCCGTGCTGCGGCTCGGAGGCCTGGAGGACGTCCGGCGTAGAATCCCGTAGAGCCCCCCCTCCACGTCCGCCACCGCCGAGACACATCACTCCTCCCGAGCCGCTCCCATCACTACGCAGGAAGCCACGGGGCTCCAGGGGTGCGGAGGAGGAGAGGGGCGAGGGGGGCAGTAGGTCGAGCTCGCGGGGGCTCTGGGCACGACTGGAGTCATAGTCACTGTCGGTGGTGAGGAAGACTTCAGAGGAGCCCTCCTCATCCGATAGACCAGCAAAATCTAAAGGGTGTATAAAAGATGCAATTTCACCAAATTAGTACCAGAATATGAGAAGTTTTGCATGTTGTATTGTTTATCTGTAACAGTATCCTGTTACTGACCTGAGTGCTTGCGACATGGTTCGGGTGAAGGCATGGGAGAGGGCATGAAGTCCGGCTGAGACGAGGTGGAGGGAGGCTTGTCAGGCAGCACTTCCTTGGAGAAGTCAATGATCCAGCTTATGGAGATGCCTCCTGTTGGCTGCTTGTAGCGGGCGTACTGCAAGGCGTCCATGATCCACCTCGCATCCCTCCACACCTCCTCCATTTGCTGTTGTACAGTCATCAAGATCATAGACGTTAACAGTAACACTGCAATGTAACACTGGGTTAATTTAGATTTAATAGGAATGCTGTCCAGTAGCATGTGATCTCTACCCACAGAAGTTGGAGTAATATGTGAGATACAACAAAGTTTTCTAGCTGTATTTAATTTGTCCTTATCACCTCACTGAATGCTGACTATAGTCTTACCTGCATGTGTTCCTGGACCTGTTGGTGTTTCTTCTTAGCAGCAAGAAGCTCAGCTTCAGAGAAGGCCTCCCGTAGTGCTTGCTGGGACATGAGCGACTCCAGCTCCAGCAAAGCCGACACCCGGCAGTACTGGCCGATGAAACTGGGGCAATAGGCATTAAAGTGGACTGTGGAAAAAAGGGAGATCCAATAAGGAAATACAGAATGGTCTGGCAGTAAATACAGAAATAAACACACAAACAGCAACCGGTGCCAAATATTTATTTTATACGATGCAGCCTGTGATTATGACCCTGCTCAGAATTTGATATACCGACCTAGTTCGAAGATCTGCAGGGGCAGGGTGAGGAAGCCGGAGCGGGGGGAGTAGGGGTTGTTCTGACCAGGAGCTGTGCACACTTCATCGCAAGGTGGTAGGAGGAGCAGGAAGGACACTTTCTCTCCAAACTCCAACACTTCCTGGCTGTAGATACGAAAGTCTTGTGCCTGGACACACAGAGACAAGTAATCTTAGTGGGCATTTGGAACCACAGGCGCCAACCTAAGCTAAGTCTTAGGAGACCTTAAAGTAGCAACATTAAATGAATATCATACCTATTTAAATCTTGTACTTTCATTTTAATATGTGTGCAAGAAGGGGCTATCAACAAGTTCCCCGATTTTTTCCGCTGAAGGGCGTGTGACAGTCGTGTGTGAGCAACATGAGCGAGCAGTAACCGCCATGATTTAGCCTGCCACATGACATCCAGCTATCAACATTATTACTTGTGTTACACAGGTTTTGTGCATTTGTGGTTTCTCAATGGACTTCAGAGTGAAACAGTGAGAAAACATCCCATTCTGCTTCAGTCAGCAGCCTGAGATGAGCCCAACTTCACATCCTGGATTGTTACTATTGACCAGAGGTGGGTCTGCTGCTACGACCCAGAGACCAAACAACAGTTCTGACAGTGGAATAACCTGCAGTCTCCAAACAGTGTGTCAGGTCAGGAGCACCTAAAGGTGTCTGAGGTGAACAGGAACCTGAACTGTGGCGTGATGGCATGTGGGTGCTCAAATTGATGTGGGTGCTCAAATTGCACTGCGCTCTGTCACATCACACTATGCGCTGATTTCTTAGTCACAAATACACAATCATGGGTCCCCATCTGCTCTACTTGCCAGATTTGACTTTCAGTGACTTCTTTCCACTCACCAAAGTGAAATTCAATTTGAAGGGTGCTGTTTTGACACAGATTAGAAGATTCGGTGCCCATAGCGGATGGTGCTTGGACATGCTTACATAAGAGGACTTCAGATAGCATTCAAAGTGTGACAACAGCAATTGGAAGTGCAGTTCTGCTGCACAAGGAGACTTCTGGCCAAATTTAAATCAGATACAGTTTTGATTTTTATCGGCACAGTCTTGGACTTTTCTGACTGCATCTCATAGATAGTAATAAAGGGTGACTTATGTGTTGCACTTAATCCATGAAAGTTACAGTTAACACATATGGATCAATGATTGTTTGGCCAACAGTCAGTCAGTTTTACTCATTTAAGTATCTTTAAAGTACAATCAAAAGCTCAAACTTCAATAGTGGGAAATTCCATTGTTTTCTGTAAATACCTTATAACACTAACACACTTTAGCCTCTATTGTGGAACAGTAGAGTTAAAGTTTTTACATCCAGCTTCTCTGGAAAAATAATCACATTTAAGGTTTCGGTTCTACATCCCGACAGTCTAATCCATATATTTAATATATATTCATGTTCATAGTCAGGTAACATTTCACAGTACATAGTAGCAGTAAAGTTCTGTACAGTGCTCATGTTCCTCTACTGGAACAGTGGGTGGTAAAAGTCAAATGGACAATGACTGCCATTGTGCTGGAATTCAAACCATGTCCTTTTAGAGAAATCATGTAGAATTAGTGGTCTAACCAGAACTGGCTCACTATCCATTGCAATCATTTTAAGAGCTTTGTGCTGTTGCTATTTCCTGACTGTGGAACTTGGCTGTATGCTTCCACTGGTTTCATGGTGTCAGTCAAAATCAGTCAGACTACACAAAATGTGCATTCTCACTATAGAAGCCTATAATGTCTGCTAATGCACTTTGAGCTTGCACACGGTTTCAGCCTGCTCTGACCTGATTGCCAGGGACATTGATGTGTGCCATCAGGTCCTTGATGGCGCTGCGCAGGTCCTGTAGGAGGCGATGGGGAGCACTCTGTACGTCATGGTCCATTTCCAAGGATTCCTCCAGAGAGCTGAGGGCCTGCAGCCACTGCCACTCCTCTCTGAAATGTCACAAAAACATACCTTTTCACTATTTTGCTAGTTTATTTAGGTGTCTGGCTCCTGATATTTAACTGGAAAATCAACCACAGACACATACAATTTCAACACACTGCATGACCATCTCAGCTACACACATGATCCCCACCTGGACACGTTACAGTTGTCCCGGATTTTGGTGTGACAGAGGATGTTAGGGAGTTTCTGGGGTACCAGCGCTCTTATCTGCTCCACAGATGTACACAGCTTCAGGTAGCCCAGGTATAAGCCTGGAGACAAAAGCTTCCTGCTACGCCTGTGATACGCCAGCTTCTCCTGGGAACAGCAGGTGGAGAGAAACTGAGTAAGAGGATGGAATGGTAGTTCTGAGTGGGGTTGATGGTAGTACTGACTCTCGTCTTGTCTTCATAAGCACCCACATGTTCAGCTGAATTGCATTGCTTTCATGTTTTCCTGTGTAGTTGGTCTTTGAGGCTCTTCAGTCTAAAGTTGTTCTGACATGTTTAAAGTGGAAGTCAGGACTGCAAAATAGCCCATCAGCACATTTTTATGCATTTCATCATACAATTTGTTCATAACTGGCCACAAAACAAATATTTCAGTGAACTGCGGTTTTGCCAAAGGGAGTCTCCACCATTGTTTTGGAACCACAAAGCCAAACCAATGTACACTAGAGACAAAACAGCATTGCAACAATGGTATCAGGTTTACGGGGATATATAGACAAAATCAACTTGTGGTTGAGTTCCAGATTGTGTTTTTTTCTGAACAAAACAGCCACACAGAATTAGTTACATAACCATAAATAAGAACAGCTAGATGATTAGATGATTATCATCATCACGTCCAACCCGCTGACATTCAAATGCTCAAACTGCTACTGCCTAAATAAGCTCTTCTACAAGTAAAATGACTCTGAGATGATTACCATTCGTGCTGGCTTGGCAGGGATCCAAAGCTTGACTCGAAATTGGCATTTTAATGAATTTGATGGAAGTCTGTTCAATTTGTGTCCTCACAAAGAAGGTGACAAATGGAAAAGTAGAGTCATGATGATTAATGTTTGTCTAAATAAAGAGTGTCTGCACGAGCAGCATTCGTAATTGGAAGCACATTTCAATTTACAGCCCTATTGTTTGAGCCACACAGCCTCATGTTTGTCATGTCATTTTGGTTTTCTGTAAATGGGAGTTTTAAAAACATTACAGCACTTCCAATAAATAAATGTTTAGGGGCATTTGGTTGTTGTCCTTTACGCTACACTTTTTAATCTTGCCAAATCTCTGGGAAACAAAAAATGCAAAGAATGAGTCTGATTAACCGACAACCACTGCTGACAAACCCCACCACCACTCTGAACTGCTGTGGAAGTACCCAGTCTCCAAAACAAAAGCAAAAATAACCAGTTTTCCAAAACTGAACCAGCATCCAATCACTGCCAGTCTGTTCCTGTAAGACTCACATGTAGTGTGATGAGGAGCATGTCGAGGGCTGTGGGCTCTTCAGGGGACGAGATAGACTTGCGTTGGAGCTGGAGTTTACAAAGCTGCGTCCAGCGAACTCCATCCAGGTTGGGACAAGCGTTCATGTCCTTCAGGAGCACCAGCAGGGCGTTACCATGCTTGTCCTTGATTGGCTCAAAATACACCTGACCAAGGTCCTGGGTTCCCAGCATTCCCTGACAAAAATCATCAGATAATAATTATACTGCTGTTCAGCAGCAGGACAGGAATATATTGACTGAAAATTTTCAGACCGAGGTAATGAGGTCGCAGCCACCACAAATACATCACAAAGCCATGGTACTACCTGTAGATGGGAGACAGCCTGCAGCATCTTGAGGCGTGTCTGCAGAGTACACGAGCAAGACGACTGGGAGGGACTGAGACACTGCTGCAGCCAGGAAATCTCCTCCCACAGATAGGACACCTGTTGCAGGAAGAGCAGGAGTAAATACTATCGTACTACCTGTTATCCTCATTTATCCAGTACTCTGGCCACATTGTTAATAGTGGATGTTGTAATAATTGATGAATATGTTAAAGATGTCTACTTATCTAACCTTCTAAACTTTAAGGCATTTTATCTACAAAGTCTACCATTTATCAATGACAGAAACTGTAAAAACAGAAATATTC